TACTCAGCGTTTATGTATTTATGCTGATGGATGCTTTATCTGTATTATGGGTGGTGCTGGTGTAACCATAACGAGGTTGTTAGAATTCTTAAAACTATAAATCTTTAACAGTTAACTTGAAAACAAATCGATTTTAGTACTATAATGTCACTTTTTTTTATAGATTTTGATAAGTTTATTTCATCTGAAATCGTTTAATAAAGAAAATGTTAATGGCTTAAGCTCTCTATAGCCATTATTAATAAACTATATTAAATCACGTGGCCGCCGCGCCGGATGTTGTAGCAAAAGTAATCTTCCTCTCGACGTTGCTAAATAATGCAGTTCCTTTTAATAAAGACACGTATCACATCAGGTGTAGTGCTAATAATTCTTCATAATGTACACTACCTTATTAATTCGTAAATAATGTATATACCTTAGTTACAAATAGTAAAAGTAGTTACATCTCTTATATGCCCCACTGCTGGTCACAGGCCAGGTTTTTAAGTAACCTAACTCGCTACTGCAGTGCGTGGTCGAAGTTTACATGTCCTCGAATTTCTTTTTCAGACTTGCATATTTATTTACGATGTATTCCATCACTACTGAGCACGTGGGAAATCAGCACTTCAAATTGAATTTAACGAAATTTCATTGGTATCGTGGCGATTGAACCCTGGTCACTTATATTCTCAGAAGTTTAATAATAATAATATTCTCTCATATTGTATATTTTTATATAATAGGGTGACAAACTGCAACCAACTTAAAACAAAGGAATCCACAGATGCGTTTTTACCCCTAAGAACAAGATGAAATGCCTTACATCCTGTGTACATTACTGGAGCGGAGCGAGCGTAACCCTCTTAATACCTGACTCTGATGATTTTTTATCGCTATCACTTATTTATTTTTATTTATCATTTATTTAACGAAATCCACAGCTCTATATACTTATTTTTACCATTATTACATATATATCTATGCCTTACAGTTAGTAAGGATGTACATTATTTTTCTTTAAAAAAACATTTAGTTTTTACCAAACCGGCAATTTATTATATTTTAACGCATAAAAAAGCGCACTTGTGCACGCAGTTGTGTGTGGATGTGTATGTGTGTATTTGTATGTGTGCATGTATATCTGAAAATGCCTACAGAATGAAATGTTTTGATAAATTCTCTATGTACGAGAGAGAGAGAGAGAGAGAGAGAGAGTCTATCTCTCTGAGAGATTAATGAATTTTGGGCATAATTTGTTTTTGTATGTGTTATTGCAAAAAAAATTGTTTGTGGTGTTCTAGTTCCAGCACAGTTTAAACACAAGATTTTGGATACTAAGTCCGAAACGTCGATAAGCCCGTTACAAAGGCTATGCATGAACGTCATATCATATTATAATATTCCACGCTTTTAAAGCGTTAACAGGTAATGCTTGCAAGAATCCCTATAGTTTTGGGAAATTCGATGATACTTATTGTTTAAGTTAACAATTTTTTTCTGAATGTCCTGAATAGCACGAATATATGTTATGGATTCCGAATCCATTAGCAATAATTCTTTTGAAATTAATTGCCCGATTTCGATAAAACAGCACAGGTAATCTACGCAGTTTTATTTTTATTAATATAATTTCCATATACACACAAATTTATACGTGTATGAAAGACATAGAAAGAATATTAAGCATGATATTTTAATTAAATATAACGTTAAATATTATTTAACCTTTTTCCATTAAATTGTTTAACAACAATTATTTCCAATAAATAACTCCGCCCTACTTTTCTCCGCCATGTGAACATATTACCTAATTATATACCGGCTCTCTTTTTAAATTATTATTTAATTTAATAAGAAGTTCTGACTATATAAATACCTGCTGGAGCGAATACTGTACGTGGTAGAGCCATACTGCAGCTATCTTAGTTGTATAGTTGTAGCACGAATGGGTCGGTTCGATCAGGAAAGGACCACGCTCTCACAGAATACCAGCGTAAAATAGCAGCTTAATGCTGTTATGTTTCGTATGGTGAATGTAGAGAACTGGAGACCCTTTTTACTGGAAATGAGGAATTCCATCTTAGTGCTCACCAGTGACATCGCATCTGCATCTTGTTTCGTAATCGAGGATAGATGTAGTTGTCTATGGGCCACAGCAACCACTTACCATCAGGTAGACTGTGTGCTCACTTGTCACCCTATCCTATAAAAAATACATACGAGTATGTTTAAGATGGGTAATCGCTGACCTTCATCACTATTACCTATTATCAGTAGGTTATCAAAGCCTACTGAACAACTCTCCCCGATAGATTGCTTCATACATTTTTGCCATAGTTGCCACCATAGAATACTATAATTTATAGTATTCTATGGGTCTGTCTGATATGGGTTATAAGTAAGAAGCCCATTTCTTTTTGCCCCGTCTTGGAATGACATTGAGTATATTAGGAATTACCATGCCTGTTCCCGGGTCTCTGACCAAAGTCACCTCCAGTTTTATCACCAAAACATTACATTGCGCACGGAAGGTTAAAACGAGGGAGTGTTTCTGTGCTCTGCGTACACTAGTAGCACCATGACATGATCTACGCAATTAACTTCTTCTCATACTCTTCAAAAAGTGTAGCCATGAGCAAATTTGTCTACATGGAAAACTGCATTTCGTGAAATTGTGTTTTATCATTTTTTATAACTTTTCTTTTCTTTTAAAATAAAAGTGACAAACAAGTACACAGTCACCTGATGGTAAATGGATTCAGTGGCCGAAAGAACCGCATATTTATCCTCGATCCAAAATGCAGAATCAAAATGTAGATGAGTTGTCACCCCTGATGACTAAGATAGAATGCCTCGTTTCCAGTAAAAGGGGTCCTTTTATTATTTCATTGAAATTCAGATCAGTTTCTAATTTTATTTTCAAAAGGGTTCTGTTTGTACAATATTATATCGCAAAGCTAATAAAAATGTTCTTAAGCGATGTTCAATTTTCTCCTGAAACTTGTTTGCAGTTGTATTTTTACCGTCTCATCTAACGCTATAAAGTCCTTAGACATTTAATCAGAGCACTATGCGTATACATTTACCACCATACCATACCATTACCATTACAGTTTGTCAAGAGTCCACTGCTGGACTTACCCCAATAGTTTGGTTGCCTCTTATGGGGGATTCGATTCGATACTGTTCATTAGGTTGCACTGAAAGGACAATGTTAAAACTCGCCTAAGAACCAACATATATTTGACAATTACCAAAAATTCTTATCCTTATTTATGCATTAGATAACATTCATTAGATAGTAACGAACACTTCTGACTTGTGAAATCAAAATAAAAAGGACTTTTTCTATTTTGAACTTTGTACCTTTTTTTTAATGCTATTGTGCTGTATTTATGGCCTCCTGTGATTTGGCCAATCGCACAATACCTTCACTCACATATTTCAAAAGTTGTCATAAACTCAAATATATTATGAAAACGTTTATATTTCAAAATATATCTCAGATTAATATATGCCAAAGGAACCGGGGTACAGTGCAATCATCTATTTTCATTTAAAATAACAATACTATTGTCATCTCCTTGGCAAATCAGCATTGTGCCACGCAAAAAAGTCAATAACGTTGACAGATGACAACAAGTCAAAATAGAATTAAATAGGGAGTTTTGGCGGGAACTTGACCGGCGGCGGTTTGCTGCTCCTGTATTATAGTTTAAATAATAGTTTGAAGTGGAATTTGATATGTAAAAGTGGTGCGATTTTATGTATTAACTGTCTACGCATGTGAACTATTAGTGGAAACGGTGAAACGGGTGCTCTAATGGTGATGGATTCTCAAGATAAGCTGTTTGTTTACATGGGCGCCTTTAGGTACCATCGCCAACTGTCAGCTGTCTGCTGGCTCAAGTTGCCGTCAAAATCTCCTAAGGGCTGCACAATGTGACGCATCAACATATTGCGAAGCAGTGAAATTCTATATATTCAAAATAAAAAAGACAAGGCTGTATGGCATAGTTTCTTTGCCTGCTCTCTCGAGCGAATAATAAAAACAACAAAGAATTAAATAGATAAAGTCCTTTTCATGAAAGAAGTCCCCCCGCTGAAAGAAGACGCAGCGCTGTACTCGCGTGACATAGTGTTGCCATTTATGAGTAAAAATTTACCTATTTTACATTTAGCATATATAATTTATCAAATAATATTTTTTCCTGCAGACTTCGATGAAACTATTAAATTGTATTAAGAAATAAATACATTTTAGATAGGCTGTAATTTCATTACTCAAGCCAATACTATAACAATAGTTCAGATTAGTGAAACATGTATATTTCTGATAAGTGAAATGTATATTTGGGCATTTTTATCAAAATGTCTACCAACCCACTCATGGGATGACTCATGCAATAAGTCCAATTAACTAACGTTATTATGACTATGTAAGTGTCGTGTTATTATTAAATAGTTTCAGTGTTTAGGTGAGAAACTAAAAACAAAGCAATAAAAGCCGACGATTTTTGGTCATGATCAGTACTGGGAAACGTGGGATGTCACATTTCCTAGTTTAAGTTTATTTAAACATAAATTTTGATAAAATGTCCATTTACATAATTTACTATATTTCTGTTATGTAAAAAGTATATTTTTATTTACTTATATAAGCGGTGTTCTACCTACTTACAGAGAAAAGATGAGAAAATAGGGTAAAGAAAAGCATTACAATTTTTTATTCAGAGTTTTATTGAATAATTGTGATCAGCGGCCATAGGAACATCACTGTCTGAAGAGTGGATGGAAACTGAATCAGATTCTGTTTCAGTATCACTAGCCGTAGATATAATTATTCGGTCCATCTCTTCATCCATAAGGCCGTCATTTTTTAAATATTCCTCCTCTAAATGTTCGACATGCGTGCACTGAGCTGTCCAATCTTCCGCCGTAATAGACTCAAATGCCTTTACAGTTAATTTTACAATTTCTTTTGGATCTTGTGCCACATTCTTATCCGCCACCTTTCATTTTACAAGGCTCCAGATTTTCTCCACCGGGTTGAGGTCGCAATGGTAAGGCGGCAACCTTAATACTTCGTGTCCGTGAGCTGTTAATAATTCATCCACTGCAAATGTCGGTGGACCTTTATTTTGTTTGATTAGCTCAAACAGCACAGCTTTTCTCCAAGTGTCTTCAAAATATATACCCTTTTGCCGGAGCCATTCCTGCATACTACTTTTTATATTTGACATTGAAGGGGCTTTGTTTAATTGAGTGCAATGGTAAGGAGCGTTGTCCATTACCACAAGCGACCTTTCAGGTAGATTAGGTATTAATTTTTCCGTCACCCATTTTAAGAAATTTGCAGAGTTCATGTCATCGTGGTAATCTGAGGACTTTGATTGGGATTTAAACATTAATAATGCACCATTTATGAATCCATCTTTTGTTCCCGCATGAGCGATTATCCAGCAACTCCCTAATGACTCTGAGACGAACATTCCTGGCTCCTCCTCACTCTGCCAACAACTTTTTGTATGATAAGTATTGTGTATAGAGGTCTCATCTAAGTATACAACGGGTCGTTTTTCCACAGTGCGATTTATTCGTATTTTATCCAAATATCTTGCACGCCATGCGGTAATGTCGTGACGTTCCATAAGTAGTTTGCGCCTGGATTGACATCGCTTGTACTTGAAACCAATCCTATTTAATATCCTGTGCAATGTTGTGATGCTTCCCTGAAAATTGATGTCTTCTCTAAGAGCTGCTCGTAATTTAGCCAAAGTTGGTAATTCTTTATGCACAACGTAAAAACTGTGAATTTTTTGCCGGATAGCGCACAAATCGAACCCGTCTAAGTCGAACTTTTTCGGATGCGGGCGACTCTTCCCCGGGGTGACAATTTTTTTCGAAGTACTCGCCGCTGTTATACCTTCTTTTGTAATTCTTGTTATAGTTTTCTCTGACACACCTGCAATTAAAGAATGAACAATTAAAAATAATAGTCACTTTAAGTTTATAATGCTTATGTACTATGTAATATACGTTTTAATTTCGGTTACCTAATTTCATCACGTTATGTATTTGTTCAATTTTGTCGCAAAACGAATTTATATCATAAAAGTCCCATGAATACAGCAAAAAATTATTATATGGCAAGTACCTGTTATGGCGGCGACTCTCTTCCGAACATTGTTCAGTGGTATTAAAACACCTTGATTCTTTTGTTCAGCTTCACAGAATTCTTTCACCTTCAATATCATTTCTCGAGCCGAACTTTTTACAACTTTTGGCATTGTAAACAATCTTTAAAATGCACTAAGCTAGTTTAAAACTCACAAAAATCTACCACAACAAACAAACTTGATAACCAAAGAGAATGTAACCACTACGTTTAAGAGGCGGGACTTCCTAAGAAAAAGTAAATGTATGACATTGCGCCAAGCTACTCTACCAACATCAAGACATGACAATTAATTTTTGACAAACAGTGCTGACAACATAGGCGATTTCTAATAGTGCTGTAAATGTCTATCCTTGAATAATTCTATCTATAAAACTTTTATCGATATCGTTACATAATAAAATTTAGTTCTCTATACTGAATTATTTATGAGCAATACTTTTTTTAACCTGGGGATTGAGTAAAAATGCCGATTAGGATAACAAATCATTGTATTTTACACGCAGAAATTTGTAATTATATCTCTACAGTTATTAGGTACAAAAATATGTGTAAAGAAAATATAAAATTAAAACGCACTATTATACTAAATTAAGTACAAACTAAATGACGACTCCGTAGCGCAGAGGCCTCTCTCGTTTCTCGTTTGGCTGCGGCATTGCTGGACCGAGGATTCGTTCCCGCACTGAACAAGTGTTGCTATGCTGTAAAATAAATAGTCTGCGTCTGGATGCTTGTTTTCAACGTCAGTTTTTTTAAAGGGTATAAAATTGGGTTTATTAACACTAATTGGATTAAATTGCTTTTAAGTGTAACAAATACTATGTACAAATCGCTAGGCTTCTTCACAGAGGTACCTACGTACTTACTACTCGCAGAGATCGTTTACTAATTGTCGCTTTTAAAATGAGTGCTCATTATGGCTAATGTTTGTAGATGAATCTATAAAAAAACTATTTATAACCAGGTAATTACAAATAACTGTGAGTTTAGTTTTATAATCGAATTCTTACCAATATATGACTTTATATGTATATTATCTTTTGCTACATGTAGATGAAACCTAATTAACATACACATAATAGTGGAAGTTTAAATTAACTCCACTGATGAAATAACAGTTCGTTTTAGTTGGATTTCTAAATCCTCGGATTTGCAATGTTTGCCACAAATATGTTTTAACATGTGAATCTTTTCAATTGGTGAATGTGCCAACTGTTTCGCCCATTGCTTGCACCTGAAAAATAATATAAATAAAATCACATTTTTATCGAACAAATAGAATGCTATCAGTCACAATTGATGATGTAGTTTCTAAATATAGTTGGTTTCGGATTGCCATCCCATCGAACTATCAGATTTAGGAAATTGTGTGTTTGTATTTGTGCACACAATCGTACACAATTAAAACCAGTCCCATGTAGATGGCTAGTCCAAAAATGTAGCCGCGTTAAACATCATATTACAATTAAAGTTGAACTCACCACATATTTTCATCATCTAAGGGAAATATTGCTACGAATCATTGAGTTATAATGTACTACGTAGTTATACGTACGTAGTACATATAACTCAATGCTACGAATAGCATTTTCTTGTTATTATTTTATCCGCTTCTTGCACCATTTAATTGGCAAGTTTTATAATGCATACCTACTTATTTTTTTAACAATTGTGTAAATGAACAACAGCTTCTATAACAAAATTTAAAGCAATCTTATAAATTAAATATAATTATACAAATATAATTGTTTGATTTGACATTTAAACCTATTTGATTTGATAATGTCATTAATAGACATATTACGAAAAGCGGAAAGAAGAGATAACCGTCATTAAAATTTGACCCCTGTAGTACATACGAGTATAATTTTTACTATGGAAGTTGCGCCAGCCTGTTGATAACATCGACGAACGACAACATGGCCGACCTGTCAAATTTAGTTCCAAAAATCACCGCGGGACTTCTTTCATGAAAAGGACTATAGATGTCAGACTCTCTCTAGAGCACAGAACACAATTACTCTCTACCAAGAGTGCTAGAGAGTAGTATGTTCCTTGCGTCAGACTATTGTTTTGGTTTCGTTTGAAAAAATACATTTCTGTAAATGTTTTAGGAATCTAAGTGCACTCTGTAGTTGGTTTGTTATGCGATAAATTTATATTAATTACGAACATCGGCTTGAACTACGGATATCGATACTCTTCTTTAGCGACCTACCTCGCTTGAATCAGGGACTTTAACCAAATGAGACTGTATATGTTGTATTTATTTGGTATCAATAAAATAAATACCTAATCACAACCTGAGTTTTATTTACCGTATAAATGGTAGGCTAAGACTGAACTGCTTACATTGGAAATAACATAGTAATGTTTCATAAACATAAAACGTAACCTCAAAATCTCTATGATAACTGCAAATATCTAAGTTTTCAGAAGTGTCCGTCAGGAGTCATTGTTCTTACATACAAGTGTGTGTAATTTCGGACTTAAAAAGGTATTTTTTCACTGTTGGTTCTTAGGCGAACATTGTATGGACGCAAAACAATGTCCTTTGTCAACTTGTTGCTTGCACTCGCGCGAAGGTTATAGACATAGTTGGACCCTGTAGATGGACGCTGCTAGTCACTTATAAAATAATTCAATTTTGTTACGTAATCTTTATCCACTTGTATGGCTATTCGTAATGGTAATTTTACCTAGCATTAGAACGTAGATATTTGTGGCGAAAATATTACACTTCGACTTTATAATCAGATGGATTAATTCAAAAAGTTTACATAAAACATACGTTTTATGTGACGGCTTCATACAAAATATAAAAATCAATGGTTGGTGTCCGCAGTTTTTATTTTTATTCAGCTTCTGCTATCTGCTCATGCAAACATGTTAACTTGCCTTTAGTCCTTTAAAAGCTAGTTTGTAGTTTTAAAATTAACATACATTTTACACAAATTAGTTGTTGAAAAAAAGGCTCGAAGTTAAGAAATGGATTACTAAACTTTAGGGGACTTGATTTCTTCCGAATTCTTATTATATAATAATATCATTCCGTTACATACCATTACAGCATATTAAAGTTCACTGCTGAACATAGGCCTCTCCCATAGATTGGCCCATAGTTGCCACGTTTGGCAAGCGGGTTGACAACCGCAGTTTATTTTTTATTTTTAGTAGTTATTAGGAAGACGCTGCTGCCCATCTCCTGATTTGTTTCCATCAGCCACTTCTTACGCCACCCACGGGATGATATGGGGTAGTGGATATTCTTACACCGCCACCACGGTCTACACGGTTGTTACATTTCCGTATACTTCAAATTCCTTTTCATCTTCTGAATGTTTTTGTTTAATTTTCAAAGAGAGTTATTGATAAAGTTGGATCGGCGAGCAGAAAAAGCGCGGACAGAAACAATTGGAAAGATTTCTCCGAGGAGTGAACGGACGTTTCAGTAAACGCCTGTATGCAGCTCACCAGTTTAGAACTTTCGAGTCTCAGCTGGGTTTCATGATGTGCAGATTTGTAGGCGCGTTTCCTAATAGAAATAGCAATATATAATGTATGTTCGCGACAGTTATTTGGAAGCATTATCGAGAGAGTTTTTTTTTAAACTCGACGATTTTGAACTCAGGATGATCTAGACCTCTTATAAAGATCAAATGTAAAAACAATTAATGGTTTGAACCTGCGCCTCCGGAGTAGTTGTCCCACGCTCTAAACATTAGGCTGTTGAGATACATATATTAATGTTACAGGGGCTAGTACTCGTAGAATTTGTTTTTTTGTGTGTGAAAACACGAAGAAAACCAATTTTCCCAGAAATTCGACCTAGCTTGATCCATTTTTCGCCTTCTTAAACCTCTGTATTCTAAATTTCATGGAAATCGTTGGAACCATTTTCGGGAACGCGATTACAAACAAATTTAAATGTATTTTGGTCGTACGTATAGGCACATTGAAAGTTCTGCGCTCTGTTTGAATTTCAAATGTTATTTTTTTAATCGCCTTCAAAAAAGGAGGAGTATTCAATTCGATTGTATTTTTTTATGTGTGTTACCTTAGAATTGTTTATAGGTGAATCGATTTTGATGATTCTTTTTTATTTGAAAGCTGGTGCTTCTCATGTGGTCCCATATAAGTTTGATTAAGATCTGATTAGTAGTTTTTGAGTTATCCTTAATAATGCGCATTTAATTAAATTCGACGACATTGATGATGTTCTCATTTTATTTATATTGAAGTCGGTTACATAACATTTTTTATTTTACCACTTGTTAAAACATAAGAAACTCATATCTTGATAAAAATAATTTTAAAAACGGGCCCGAGCCCGTTTTTAAAATTAATAATAAATAAATCGGCTGTTGTTAACCTATGATCACGGATATTTAAATTTATATTTCAAACTTAAGTTCCAATATATAATTAACAATATACCGTTAATGCAGTTTTTAAAACTACGAGTAAATAAGGCTTCTACCGTTTATTTGAAATTACCCCACATTGAATATAATTTATGGGCAACAACATTTTTGGCTACCGATCGACCCTTACAAATGTGTGCGTGTGCAATAAAATCAGTTAAAATAATGCTTTACCACGCATTTTGAGTTTAAAAAATAGAAAGGACAGAATGTTTGAGATTTTTTTCATTAATTTTTCTTCAGCATTTACCTATATTATTTTATTCTGAACCTTCTCTGCAAATTTGGCCGGGTATTGCAAAACAACAAGCGGCAAGCAACATATAGTTGTTCGAAGGACAGCAAAACAATAAAATTGAGGCAGGCAAGAAGCGTGGGCAAAAAACTGATTGAGTTTTTTTTCCCTGGTGGGGCCTGGCTGCACGATCTTTTTAAAAAAGTAGAAAAAAACCGGTCAAGTGCGAGACGGACTCGCGCACCGAGGGTTCCGAACAAATCCGTAGGTATATAAGTTCAAAAGTATTAAAATGATTTTAATTATATGATATAAGTAAAAATTTATGCTTTTCGCAATTTTTCCTTTATCTGTGCTATAATACGTTGCTTCGTATCAAATTTTAAGATTCTGAGTTCACGGGAAGTACGCTGTAGGTTTTGATTCCCTTGCGAATGTCAAAAATTTGCG